TCAGTTATGGCAGGCTGCCTAGCAATATGATCAGTCAGCTTTTGACTGTCTCCATGGATGGCAACTAGACAACCTCTCTGGGCAACCTACTGTACTGTTCAGCACATTTACAGTAAAAGCATGTTTTCTTATGTTCCAATGGAATTTTACGTGTTCCAGTTTGTGCCAATTGTCTCCACTTCTGTCACTGATAATCACTGCAAAGAGTCTGGCTTCCTCTTCATCTCTCTGTCTCATCAGGTATTTCCAAGCCTTCTCTTTTTAAGACTATGCAGCTCAGCGTCTCCTCAACAAAAGATGCTTCAAACATTCGATGCTACCTTAACAATTTCTCAACATCTTTCTGCACTGCAGATACTAGAATGGAATATAATACTACAACACAGTCTTCAGCTAATCCATTAGAAAAGGTGATACAACTCCTCAACTAATATACCCCTGCTTCCGTATGCAGGTAGTACATTCCACCTCATGGTTGCAAACACTGTATACGGCAATACACATTTAAGTCTGCCAGAACAACCAAAACTCCTTTTAGCCTTTCTGCTTTGTACAATACAGTTTCATACCACCTACACAATAAACTACTTTGCTCCTAGACATACAATGCTGTTGGCTGTCCTAAGATCCATGCTAGAGAAATAAGCACATTCTACTAAGCACCCTGATTAGCCTTTGTAACCAACTTGTTCATTAGCTACTTCGAAACTTCCGTGCTATCTGCAAATTCTATCAGCACTGATTTTATACTTTCTACCAGATCACTGACAAATACACTGAACAGCACTGAACCAAAACAGAATCCTACAAGGCTAACTAGAAAAATCCACAATTAGATAATCACCTTCTATTTACAGTTAGTTTTACAATCTGTCATTTAACTAGCTTAAAAAATTTAACACAGGTTATATTGATTTCACTTAGTGTTATCTTTCTCCTAAATCAGAATGTCATACAGTAACAAGCCAAGCACCTTTTAAAACTCTACCAGGCAGACAAAGATGTGTCTATCATCACTACTACTGGCTTCAATGGCACAGAGAAACCCCATACATGGGCCAGGATCCATTTTCCTGATGACTGTACAAATACTGTACTGCACCAAGTACTGTACCACACCTGTCCACACTTTAATAAATCAATTTAGCTTCTGATGTCCACAAAAAGAATAGTAAATTTGTTTGGCAAGGTTGACTTTGTGCCAATCAGAGGGATCCGGCCAAGCTCAAGTAGTGAACCCATGTGAAGCTCATGAGGTCCAACAAGGCCAAGTGTAACATCCTGCACCTGGGTTGCAGCAACCCCTGGTATCAACACAGGCTGGGGGATGATGTGATCAAGAGTACCACCACGGAGAAGGACATGGGGGTGTTGGTTAGCAAGAAGCTCAACATGACCCAGCAATGTGTGCTTGCAGCCCAGAAAGCCAACCACATCATGGGCTGCATCCAAAGCAGCGTGACCAGCAGATCGAGAGAGGGGATTCTTCCCCTCTACTCTGCTCTCGTGAGGCCCCCTCCCCACAGTACTGCCTTCAGCTCTGGGGTCCCCAACACAAGAAGGACATGGACCTGTGGGAGCAAGTCCAGAAGAGGGCCACAAAGATGATCAGAGGGCTGGAGCACCTCTCCTGTGAAGGCAGGACGAGAGAGTTGGGGCTGTTCAGCCTGGAGAAGAGAAGGCTCTGGGGAGACCTTAGAGCAGCATTCCTGTACTTAAAGGGGGCTTATAATAAAGATGGTGACAGACTTTTTAGCAAGGCCTGCTGTGATAGGACAAGGGGGGATGGTTTTAAACTAAAGGAAGGTAGATTTAGACTAGACATAAGAAAGAAATTTTTCACCATGAGGTTGGCGAGGCACTGGAACAGGTTGCCCAGAGAGGTGGTAGATGCCCCACCCCTGGAAGGTTCAAGGCCAGGTTGGATGGGGCTTTGAGCAACCTGATCTAGTTGAAGATGCCCCTGCTCACCGCAGGGAGGTTGGACTAGATGAGCTTTAAAGGTCCCTTCCAACCCAAACCATACTACGATTCTATGATTCTTCCATAAAACTATTCTCAATGGCCTGAATTATAGACAAGGTCATACAGAATTCAAAGACAGACAACATTCCTCGATTTTACCTAGAACCAGTGCCAGGTCAAATGACATTTAACTGATCCATGGCCATTCTGATTATGCTTTAAAACTAATGGCAGAAGTTTAGGGTCATCCACTCCCTGCGGTTGTAGACTTCTTCAGCTACTTTCCACCAAACGTCCGAAGATAGTAACATTAATTAGCACATATATTTATCTACTTCAATTTGAGGTGTACAAACAATAAGCCACGAAAAAAACAGACCTAGAACTAAAATTTGATGTGCATGTTGTTAAAAATTGTACACAACTGCAATGTAACCTCAACTATCAGACATCCAAGAATCTGGTGGACAAGAAGTTAACCATAAGCCAGTAATGTGCCCTTATGGCCTAGAAGGCCAATGATATCTTGGGGTGCATTAGGAAGAGTGTGGCCAGCAAGTCAAGGGAGGTTATCCTTCACCTCTTCTCTGCCCCGGTGAGGGCACATCTGGAGTGCTGTGTCCAGTTCTGGGCTCTCCAGTTCAAGAAAGACAAGGAACTACTGGACAGAGTCCAGCGGACGGCAACAAAGACGATGAGGGGACTGGAGCATCTCCCTTATGAGGAAAGGCTGAGGGAACTGGGTCTGTTCAGCATGGGGAAGAGAAGACTGAGAGGAGCTCTCATCAATACTTACAAATACCTTAAGGGTGGGTTTCAAGAGATGGGGCCAGACTCTTTTCAGTGGTGTCCAGTGACAAGTCAAGGGGCAATGGGCACAAACTGAAACACAAGAAGTTCCATCTTAATATGAGGAAGAACTTCTGTACTTTGAGGGTGGTAGAGCATTGGAACAGGCTGCCCGAAGAGGTTGTGGAGTCTCCTTCTCCGGAGATACTCAAAACTCGCCTGGACGAGATCCTGTGCAACTTGCTGTGGGTGAACCTGCTTTGGCAGGGGGGCTGGAGTACATAATCTCCAGAGATCCATTCCAATCCTGATGATTCTGTAATCTATAAGGAAGTGAACCTTACAGTAAGCCTCAGTTTCTAACAATGTACCAAATGCAACTGAAGATTTTGTCACGTTTAGAAGATTTATCATGCATCTTTCCACAGATCCTCAGAGAACTCATACTGTCCTCTCCCCATGACTGTGGGTACGGGCAAGTTCACTTTCTTTTACCACATTGTCTTTTTGCACAAAACTTGTAGAAGCACAACTGTCTTACAGAACTCTAATCCCATGGTAAATCAGACTGAAAGTATCCGACAGGTTGAAAGGCTATTAGGAAACCTGGTTTCCTACCTTGGATCTGTACACTAATGGGGAGAAAGTACAAGGTTAGCAGATGGGACTTTCCCCAACACATACCAGAATAGCCTCAAGTGCCATCTTTTGTGAAAAGGTAATTGTGTAAGAAGAAAAGAACGAGAAACTGAGGCAAAGAAAGCTAAAACACTCCACGATAATGTCAAGAAAACTATTTAAAATATTAAACCCAAGGTAGGGCGGGGGGCGGGTAGTGGTGTTTAACCATTTCTTTAAAAAGCCTGCTTACACTAGAATTCCAGTATTCTCTGTTTACCTTGCAAGAGTTGGGGACATAAACCAAAAAGAGAGCAGGGATCTGTAGTCCTTAGCCTGCCACAGCTGCTATCAATACAATCATCTTTTTGCAGAGCAGCACAACCTGGAAGTCTGATCTCAGTCAGGACAGGAAAGAAGAAAACAACTCAGAGCTGCTTGTATTTGAAGCATTTGCACCTTACGCTCTTGTATTTTGAGCACATTATGTTTGAATTGGACCTATCTTCAGACTAAACGCTCTGTTCATTTTAAGGAACAAGTTCATTACAAGCAAAAGAGCATCTCTGAATGCAAAGTCGCGTAAAATTTTGCTCTCAGATGATCATGCTTGTGTCTCATTGAAATCAGTGGAAGTTTGAACTGATAGAGAATTTGTCCCCGCAAAGTCAGTTTTACTTAACTGATATTGAAAGATGTACTGGAAAAACAGTACTTTCTGATGTTCAAAGTCCCAGACAGGGATTCAGCTGACAAATTACAGACTAGGGTTTCAGTCACAGCCCACTGAAAAGTCACAAAGCAGTTCAAGCTGAGTCATTTTGTTGATCTGTACCTGTCTTTTCCTTCCAGCATTTCTCTTATTCTATGTAATAAACATGTAAATACATCAGAAACCATCTCTAAATAGATTCATACAGAGTATGTCAAACGAGGATCCTAATTTCAATTGGGATTCTTCAGGTGTTGCTGTAATATAAGTTATGCATTATACAAAGCCGTACCTGCTTAACTAATTAGCACCAGCAGGTGTTACCAGTTAAATCTCCAACATACTGAGCTCTTTATAGAATGCATGTCCTCTTATGTTGCAAAATGAGAGACACAAAGAAGGCACACAGCAATATGGTAAAAAGCATTTCTATTTTCTGGCATAAAAAAAATTTGGAAAGAACTTTGATCAGCCCTTGACCAAACATGACAGATATTAAAGAGGGTTTCTCCAGGTTTGCTTGGGTTCTTCTTTCTTATCATTCCTTCACTACAGGATTAAAATTCTGATGATTAAAATTCATCATATTATAATGCATTTACATTTACAATAGCCACATAAGATAGGAAAGAACTAGGTGGGTTTTTTTCAGAGATGTGAACTGAAATCTGTAATAGACTTAGTCCAATTACTCGCCCCGGCCACAGACTTGAACCTTAGCTTTTTTCCAATACATGACTGATGGACAGTCTAGAAAGCAAGAGAATTCAGTTATTCACCTTGCCCTGTGGTATCAGTTCAAGCCTTCCCAAACAAAACTGAAAGGAAATAACTGGAAATCTGTTACATGGAACTAATGACTGTTTGTGGAACAAAGAGGCCCCAAAATCATATAGCATGCACAGTATGTATAAACCTTGGCTATGCTGGTCCATTGGACTCTGAGGTGGGCCCATTCCAGTGTGAGGAGGTCGCATACTCTTCATGGAGCCACAATGAACATCTTCAACCATTCCTTTTTCATGCAAGCCATCAACAGACTGTGAAAATAAAACAAGTATTTATATAGATAGTATATAAATCCGCTATAAAAATCCAAAAGACTTTAACTCAAAATCTAAACAAATACATAAAGAGTACAAACTGCTCTCAGCAGTCATTCAAAATAAATACAATGGGAACCTTTACCCCTGGAATCAGACATCTGGGGAACCACAGAGCACCATTAGACTGCTTGTCCTCTCTGTTTCCTTTTTGCTTTTTTTTCTTCCTTACAAACTGTTTGGCAATGTCAAGGAGGTGAACTGTCCAAATACAAACATACGAACTGCACTGGCCTCATATTACAAAGGAGTGTAACACACACCAACTTATGAAAGTACAGCTTGTGGCTTGGCTCGAGTTATTTTTAGCCCAAACTTTGCCCTTTCAGTCACTGCTCTATTGGAATGTCTCAAACACTGTTTCTCTTCAAAAACAAAGACTACATTGCAGGAGATAACCCCTTTTTTGCAGGCAAAAACAGGGACAGGCAGTCAAGGAAGGAAGACATAGTTCTATTCTAATACTTGTGCTCCCTACAGTTCTTGTCAGCTCATTCACTCCTCAAAAACTACAGTTCCCATGGTACTCGAAACGCAAAACAGGGCTAAGTGCCTTCTTCAGCGAAGAGAAAACAGCTTGGGGTCAGAAAAACATGCTGAAGGCATGCAGGGCACTGGAAAAGGCTCCATAACAGAAAGTGAAGGACTCTGAAAGTGAAAATAGGGGAAAAGTAACATTAGAAGGAAGACATCTTAAGAAAACTGAAGTTTCACCTGCAAGCAAAAACTACATCAGGTCCTTAACTAGGGAACAGATTATTCTCATTAACTTTTAACTTAGAGCTCTGCAAAGTTTTGTATTAGGAAGGAACAGGCTGGCATCATTTACTTCTCTTCTCTCTACAGAAATACGCAGCTCTGCCCCTCTCTGTAACACATGTATGCATGCACACTAAATATTGTTCTTGCAAATCCTACTGTGAATGGAGACCTTGCAGTCTGTTTTATCTAAATGCACACCTGTTTATTGAGAATGTTTTTTAGGAAGAGAGTTAAGAAAACCTACTCCAATTGAAAATACAGGCAGTTAACAAAAAGACTGCACAACAAGCTACATACAGTCATGGAAAAAAAAGACACTGTCACATTTCTTCTATTCAAGCAATTTGTTGCACATGAATCAGCTTAAGCAGAACTAAATATAGGTCATCCTTTCTACAAAGGAAAAAAAATTCTAAATTTTAATTTGTAAACCCTTCATATACATTTTCCACTTTCCATTGCAATAATCAGATTTGACTGAAAGTATCTTTAAACACATGGGAGTCTTCTTGTTTATCAGCATTTTTGAAGGATTTCACTATCATTTTTCCTTATCAGAAGCTATAAGTTAAAAGGAGAGAAGTTATAGAATAGGAGAAGTAAGATGGATTTGTTTATGTTTCATCAAATCATTTAGTTGTCACGACAGTACAAAAACATTTGTGAAAAGAACTTCTATCAGAAAAATACCTGTTACTCAATAAGCTATTTTTGATTACAAGAACTTGGGATATGAAGTAGAAATGTAGAGATAGATGACCGATACATTAAAAATAGTTCCACTGTGCTAACCAAGTAAATCCCAATGCTCTCTTCCGAGGCATGAAGATCCCTCCCTCTCTCTTCGCCCCTACTTACAAAGATAACCCACATGGAAGAGAACGCTCAGTTCACATTCTGCCCACAGGAGCTGAACACTACAGAAACCGCACCACCTGTAAAGCCAGATCCATTCCTATTTCACTATGGTATGTGTGGAGGACTAAATCTTCAGGGCCACCAAGACAAGGAAGAAACTGTGCAGGAAATTGGATCTGATTTCCAGAAGAGAGGACCCTAGCTGTACACAACTGCGGTGTGACTGTAGGGATGGGTGTCACTGCACTAACGGATGGCAACTGTGAAACTTCTGTGAATGCCGGCAGCTTTGGTGAGACTAAGATGGGACACAGCATGCACACCCAGAGCAAGAGAAGCACCAGCATATAGAAGGTGGGGAAAGGAGCTGGCATTAACAAAGAGCATCAGTGAAAAGGAAACAAATGTGTTGCCCTTCAAAAAGAAAATTTTTAAAAAATCAAAGAGGAACAGAAAGGTAAAGACACGACCATACAAGAAAACATCAATTGAAGGAATGCTTCTATGGAAAGAATTGATCAGAAGAACATGTTTTTGTACGGTAAGTAGTTAAAAAACAACAACAACAACAAAAACAACAACAACAAAAAAACTTAGAGCAAATTTAAATGCTTCAAGTCTAATGGAAAGGAGCATAAATATAGCAAGAAAGGGGTTTGCTTCTGTGTATTTGCAGAAGTTATGTTGTGAAAAAAATTAAAGTGAAATTCATTAGAAAAAGAAAGGTAGATCTCATTAATCATTTTTTTACTAGCAAAGCTACAAAAGACAAAGATGGCATAAACTTCTTGGAAGACGAAATTAATTTTAATGATCACGGTACTGCTAATTTATGGAAAGAGACTTGTATTTCCAAGAATACTTTTCATATAAAAGCACCACTACTGTCTACGGAAAAACTCTATAAAATATGGGAGACAATTCGGCAGAGGACTACAAGAGCTGAAAAATAGTTACTTTTCATAACTTCTTTGAATCACTGTGTAGTTACAGAGTTAGATGACAACTTTAAATTTATATAAGAGGTTAAAAACTACAGAAAGGATCCTACACACAATGCAATTTCTGTAAATTCAGTCCTGTATAAATTACTAAAGATACCTTCCACAATAACATTGTTGGCATGAGAAACGTAACCTACACCATCAACAAAGCACTACTACCATCTTGGAGTACTTTTTTTTTAATTCTTTTAAGATGACTGAACAGAAGGGAAACAGGAAGTTGAGACATCATCAACTTTGAGTAGACACTAGTATTTTCATTGGTCCCCATAAGTAAGAACAAGCACAGGACAGGTCAGATATATAAACTAGTTTCAGAAAACACAATGAGGAATGAGCTTCAACTGTATGCAAGCCCACACCTACAGACTTGGCAGACTTACAGACTTTACATAATGCCTAGTGCATAAGGAACATTTTGCCTACACTGCTTTTACTCTGAATTTAGTAACTAAGGTCTTCTCACAGGGAGCATTGCATCACAGTTTGACCTATTTCCAGCTAAAGTGTTAGATCACGGTGTCTTTTTTTGTTTCCTTCTCCCTTCTTAAACAAACAAACAAAACACCAGTCTGAAAATCAAAGACTAAGATCGAATATCAAACTAGATTTCTTCTAGACCATGCATTCTCTATGCAAACAAAAATTACACAGCAACGTGTTGTCACATAACTGCACAGCATAACTGAACACATCACTGGTAAACAACCAGACTGATTGTGGTTGTCCTTGCAGTAGGAACTTGGCCAACAATTCTGTTAAGCTCTTATAAATCACTAAAACACCATTTTACACAAAGTCTCTGCTGATTTTTCAAGATTGACAATACTTACTTTCTTTTTCACTAATGTAAACACATACAACAAAAATAATGCAGGGAACATGACTGCTGAATAAAAAGGCGTTACTTCCAGGACCATGACAGAATTTTAAGAATCTCAGTGTCTAGTATGCACAGATCTGTTAGCCAACAATATTTGAAATGGGGAACAATTTGCCTTCTGTTTTCACGGAACATCTGAGTGAACAAAAAAGTACATTTATTAAAAAATATCATTTTTGTAGCAAAATAATTTTTTCTATCACTCACTTTTTCTGTCATCCACCAAAGCAGTAACATTACCCATAACATCATAATAATTTTTCCACAGCTAGTAATAATTTACAGGACACCCCACTACAAATTCACAAAAGAAGTGATTATGCATCACGTTACAATCATATGGAAGAGAAAATAAACTAAGAGTTCACAGTACTCTTCCTATCCCTCAAGTGAGAACCATGCAAATTAAATAGATACACTTTGTCGTAACTAAGAGTTAAGCAGTTAAAATTATGCAGTCCAGCTGGTGCATAAGAGTATACAGAAGGCTGTATCTGTCCAGACTAAAACCATCTAACCCTATGTTCTGCCTCCAGAGCAGCTCGTATGTGGATGCCAAGGAAAAGTAAGATTAGGGGAACCATGTAACAACGCTTTCCTTTAATAACCTCCCAGCTTCCAAGTATTTTCACTTCATGAGACTCTCTGAGGCTGTTATGGTTTGTCCATTTACCAGTCATGTCCCCTCCCCGACAGACCTCTAAGTATTTCTCCTTAAATGTAGCTGTCTTGCATCCAAGACATACTCCAGTAAAATTTAGAACTCTTAAGTACTTCCTTAGCAATTTGATCGATTGTCTAAAGATTACCTAAGAAAGTAGCGAGAAAGATAGCTAATTTATTGTTTCTGTCAAAGCTGTGTTACATAAATCAATAGGTAATTTTCTGGTGGAAGGGTTTTCTGGTTACTAAGTGAATATACAGTCTTTAATTTTCATATTAACTGCTGTTAAGTAAAGACACTTTAGGAATTACAATTTATTAATATCAATCTGCATCAATCAGTGTTTACTGTTGGTACTTTGGATTTTTTTTATTTTTTATGCATTATACTATTCTTTGTAAGTTAGTCAAACATCTAACATAGAATGACGATGTTTCATTACTTAGTTTGTGAATTTTAAAAGAAAGAACCACGTCCTATTGCATACATGGGATGTGAACCCCACAAGCAATTGCATAACTGGGACACTTTTTGTGCAATCTCTCACTTTTACTGCACTTCATTAGGCAAAAAAAAAAGGCATTATGTTACATCATGACTTGAAAGTCAAACTCCTTTACATAACACTAAGCAGAAAGAAAATGTTTACTTGGTCAAACTGCAGGTGGCTGACTAGTTTTTTAACTACTTGGAACAACATTCAAGTAATATTTGCAAAATAATCTAGAGGTACTATTCCACAGCATTTCTTAAACAGACTCTTCCC